TCCCCAGGCAGCAGGGGCAGGCTCTGGGCTGGGGGTGCTCAGCACCCTGCCTCTCTCCTGGCCCCCAGTCGCTGTTGGAGCTGCACAAGCGGAGGAAAGCCTTGACCGAGCCGGAAGCGCGCTACTACCTGCGGCAAACCATCCTGGGCTGCCAGTATCTGCACAGCAACCGGGTCATTCACCGGGACCTCAAGCTGGGCAACCTCTTCCTCAACGACGACATGGAGGTGAAAATAGGTACGGACACCTGCAGCACAGAGCGGGTCCGGGAGCCCGCCCAGCCCCCGCCACTCGCTGCGGATTCCGGGCCTTGTAAAGTCCCGATCCGAGCACATCCCATGCTTTGGATGGGCCGACTCCGTATTGGAGGGATGTAGCCCATAATTCTGCCACTTGCTGCTCACAGGATGAGACCGACTGTCCACGCACCATTGCCTGAGAACTCTGAGCTAAGGAAACCAGTCTCCCTGGTGCCCGGCCTGGCCCTAGGCAAATATTCTTGTACCTAAATCTTCCCAGGTGACTTTGGCTTGGCAACCAAAGTAGAATATGATGGTGAACGTAAGAAGACGCTGTGTGGGACACCAAACTACATCGCCCCCGAGGTGCTGGGCAAGAAGGGACACAGCTTTGAAGTGGACATCTGGTCCATCGGCTGCATTATGTACGTTCCGTGACAAATCTTCAGGTTTTTAGTTTGCATGCCCTTAAATTTGGGACTTAGGGCTGCCATGGTCAGTCCGCTAGACTGGGGTCCGGGTTTTAAGTTAATCTTAGCTTGTGAGGAGCCTCTTAAAGGAGACACTATAAAACAAAAGTGATCAGGTCCAGGCCAGAACCTGGATAAGTGCAGACTAAGGTATGTCTGTGAGAATGGCCCAGCTATGGTGGTGTAGCTGAGCCGCTGTGGTGGTATAGTGCAGATACTTTCTACACTGACTTTCTCCCTCGATGGCATTAATCCACCCCTCAGAAGAGAGGTGCATTAGCTACGTCTGTGGAACAAGTCTTCCACTGTCCTAGCTGTGTCTATACAGACACTTTTCACTACCCTGTAGACTTGGCCTAAGGCTTGAATTGCCCTGAGATGTAGCTATGTGCTGGTCTCTAGTGAGAACAATATTTGAAGAGTTCTTGCTAGAACACTGCTAGCTTGGTTCAAATCTATATGGCTGTAAATGGGTCTTAAAGGTTACAATTTAAAAAGTGGTTTGCAAATTAGGCTGCCCTAGCAAGACTCCTAATGGCAGTGACCAAGGGCTAGAGATGGGTGATGAGTCTCAGCTTCCTTCATGACTCGTTTGCTTTGTAATCAGAGCTTGACTATCTCTGGAAAACTCCTCAGATCTGACTATCAGAGCAATGTTCCTGTTTGCCTTGACCTGCCAGCTGCTGTGTGTGCACCTACCTGTACCCACAACCACTGGCTTTTGCAGGCTTACTTCTTGTAGTGAAAGTTATTTTGAATCCTGTCCATTTAAAGACCTGATGTCCCGAGTTTCACCGGTTCTCTCTCCCAAGGGTACCAGATTCCAGCTGCCTCCCCTAAGGAGCAGGGAACTGGAGATCTACCTGGCATTTCAAATACAATTGCCTGCTGCCCTGCATCTCCTGGGTGTCTCATCCCCCTGCTGCAAATGATCCTTCATGTGGAAATCGTGTGCTCTCCTTGTGACAGGCTCTTATGTATCTTAAATATGCAGGTACACACTTCTGGTAGGGAAACCACCCTTTGAAACCTCTTGTCTAAAAGAAACCTACATCCGAATTAAGAAGAATGAGTACAACATCCCCAAGGTATGGAGCCTGCTGCAGAGCGGGAGTTAGTCTTGCCAGCCAATAGAGCTAAGACTGCTTGTGCTTAGAGTGCACTTAACTTGGGAGTGAGCCCATTGGACTCACTGGCACTTCTGTTTTTGAGAAAACAAGCATAGAACGGGGTTCCGTGGGAAAGCTGAGTTAATGCTGAAGTAAAACAGGGAACAGACCTATGATGTCACCATGATGGTCCAGAATTAGGGGCATGTGTTATGTAAGAAACTGACCGTGGCAATTTTAAATTTTTCTTACTGCAGCTTTCTGTACCCTATGCTCAGGTGATAGTCAACTAGGTTTAGAACTGAATTAAACGAACAAACCATAAGGATTAGCTAAACTAAACTCTTTCCTAGCAACATCCAACACAGTAACAGCTTGGGAACTTACTTGTCAAGTGACACATACACTAAAAGATGCAGAGAGTCTTGAAGAATGATGCTTTGGGTTTTTACCCACGAAAGCTTATGCCCTGATCTTTGTTTGAGGTGCCACAGGATTCCTTGTGGGCTTTTAAAAAATTATGTAAGTTACTAACCACTTGATCCACTCCGCCATATCCATGTCTTTATCCATGTCAGTTTCTCCCATTAAACAGTCCTCTTTGCAACGTTTCATTCTTGCCACTAGGCCCTGCATCTTCTTGCACCGTTTACCTTTGGCACATTTCCTTTTTGACTCAGAGAACAAAGGGAAAGGGGTATGTGTGTGCTGAATGTCTTCCCTTTTTCCTTCCAGTCCCACTCCACTGTTCCCATCTAGGCTGCCTTCGTCCTTTCCTATCTAGTGTCTGTCTCAAGATGCTGCCCTAGCCAAGCACAGCAGAGGAGTGAGTTACGGTCACCTGCCACATCAGCACGGAATAAAATAGCCCTGTCCAGCTTGTCTTAGTTTCTCAGACTAAAAAGTGAAGGCCCCGAACGTCCAAGCAGGAGCTGGTAGTTAGGCTGGACAGACTAGAGCCCGTCGTTCGCTCTTGAGACTGTTTGCGTAGGTGGAGCATGTTTGTGATGTGATTTAATTGGAACTTCCGTTTAAATGCGACCTGGAGCATTGAGTTAAAATCGATATTTTTTAAATTTTTTTTAATCCCTGTTCCCTTCCCCCCTGGAGTGCAGCAAGTGACTGTGCTGTAACGCGCTGGTGTAAACGGGCTCCTAGTGCTGCTGGCGACCTCCCTTGTGGAGGTGGCTTCATTAGAGCCCTGTTGCGGCAGCGCGCCGCACTTGGAAAGCCTCGGTCGCCTCCATGATGGAGCCGTGCAGAAGCCAGACGGCGCCTCTGGTGCCCGCTCAGCCGCGGAAAGGGCTTCCAGGAGCCGGAGCAGAGACCAGGCGTTGCCTGCCGAGGTTCTGGGCTTGGCTTCGGCCTTTCCAGGCCTTAAGGCAGGAGAGTGAAATCGAAAGGCCAACTTCCCCGGGCTGGGGGGACCAGCCCCCGACTGGCACCGTGGCGTTACGCTATCCGGGTGGGTGGAGGCGGCAGCGGCATGTCGGGCTGGAGCTCCCGGCCATTGGGCTTGTCTGATCCCGAGTCCGGCCCTGAGAGAGAACTGCTCTGGGTACCAAACCAGCCCTGCTGCTGTCTCAGGCCTTCAGCGATCCCAGTGTCGCTTCCCCGCGGAATACCGGTGTCTAACTAGCCCTCCTCAGCTCCTCCGGCTCCTCTTCTGCTCGCCTGCCCAGGCACACACGCTGCTTGGAGCGGTAGTGCCCCCCTGGTTGTGGGGTTCACCTTTCCGCTGGGTGCACCGCTGCTAGGCGGTGCTTGTCTCCGGCCCTGGCTCACGAACTCCGCCTGCCTCCTCCTCCAGCACATCAACCCCGTCGCTGCTAATCTCATCCAGAAGATGCTGAGGTCTGACCCCGCCACCCGCCCTACCATTGACGAACTGTTGAACGATGAGTTCTTCACCTCCGGTTACATCCCCACCCGGCTGCCCACCACCTGTCTCACCATCCCGCCTCGGTTTTCCATTGCCCCCAATGGATTGGACCCAAGTGGTCGGAAACCTCTTACTGCTCTCAACAAAGGTAAGAGCGGGGTGGAGGTTGCAAGAGAGGCCTGGGGTACAGTGTGGAGAGCTTGGGGCGGGGTGCTGAAGTTGAGAGGAAATTACCTTGTTTGGGTCGGGGGCCACTGACCCACAGAAAAGTCACTGACTTGGCCCCCAGCTGAGAAGCAGGAAAAAGGACACTCCAAGCTCCGTCCCCACGTGGGGAATAGAGGGTGCTGAGGGTCAGGGCTTACCCCTGGGACTGGATTGACTCTCTTGTGGGGCCTCCAAGACTCTGGAGTGGTGCCCAAAGTGAGAGGTTCAGCTGTCGATAATGGGGGGGAGATGCAGAGTCAGGGGTGCAGGGTGCTGGACTTAGGGAAGATGGTCTTGAGGCCGTTGTGTGTGTCCTCCCGCCCCCCTGCCTCTCCATGGCCAGGCACATGCAAATTGCCACAGCTGGGCCTGACGGTCAATCGACCCCCCCCTGACGCTACCTGCGGCTGTAGGCTCCCTGCCTCTACCGCTCTCTTGCTCTCCTGCGCAGGCTTGGACAGCCCCGCCATCGAGAGGACCCAGGAAAAGGAAGAGGAGGCCGTGCTGCGGGAGCTGGGGGAGCCTGTTGACTGCCACCTCGCTGACATGCTACAGCAGCTGACCATCGTCAACGCAGCCAAGCCCTGCGAGAGGCCGCTAGTGAGGCAAGGTGAGCGCTGGGGTCCCAGTCGCAGGGTCCTTGGTCTTAGCCGTGCTGCTCTGGGACCTCCGAGGGGCCTGGATGTGACTCTGAGCTCCGCTTCCCAGCCCGGTGCTGCGGTTCCGAGCTTGCTTGACGCTCTCTGTTTAACCCCCGGCTTCTCTTGCAGAGGAGGCTGAAGATCCCGCCTGCATCCCCATCTTCTGGGTCAGCAAATGGGTGGACTACTCGGACAAGTATGGATTGGGTAGGTAGCCGCTTGGCTTTGCCAGCAGCCAAGTTCACGTCAGCCCTTCCCCCAGCCGGGGGGCCAGAGCCACCCATCTTCCTCTGCTGGCCCTTTCCCCTGCGAGCCAGCTCTCTGATTCCTGAGCAGCATGAAATACTCACCTGATCGCAGGAGCCCCGCACAGCCAGTCTGAAGAGCTTAGGGTTTCAGGCCTGCAGCCTGGCAGGCACCGAAGGCCTGTGTCTCAGCAACGCATGGCGACAACGGCTGGAACAGCACCAGCACCCTGGGCATTCATTGGTTTAAATAACTAATGTGCAGGGGGAGTTTCCCCACGTAGGCTGAGAACGGGAGCTCCAGGCTATTGGTTCTCAACCAGGGGTACGTGAAGGGCTTTCCAGGGGTCACATCCCCTCCCTAGATTGGAGACTTGCCGAGTTTTGTCTGGCTACAAGCGAAGTCGGTGCAAACGAAGCTCTCTCGGCGGGGCGCTGGGATGGAAGTGCAGTAGTTACGTGCCCGTTGGGCTTCTGTAACCGTGTGAAGAGTCACTAATGGTGCGGCCACAACACTTCTTGGTATTTTTGTCTGACTCTCTTGTACCCCGGTGTTTTTAAAGAGGTGGAACTTGGGGTCCTCAGGGCAGCTCAGATTCCAGAAAGGGGCCCAGCAGTCTGGAAAGGTGGAGAGGCCCCGCTCTAGATGCTGAGACACCAGAGTCGGGCAAAGTGTGGCCTTCTCTAAGATCCCCTACAGTTAGGGCTGTGAACGTGTAACCATGCACATGGCTACCGATGAGTCTGCAAACCAGTGTAAACGTGCAACTGCTGAAAAATTCACTGTTTGCATGTTTACTTAAGTGCATTTTCACATCTCTACCTGCAGTCAGGCATGCACGTGCCTCCAGCTTGTAGCATCCCAACCCGGGAGCCTGTGTCCGGAGAGCTAATGTTTTCCCGTCTGTAACCAGGCTACCAGCTGTGTGACAACAGCGTCGGGGTTCTTTTCAACGACTCCACTCGTCTCATCATGTACAACGACGGGGACAGCTTGCAGTACATCGAGCAGAACAGCACCGAGTCCTACTTCACCGTCAGGTCCTACCCCTCGACGCTGAATAAGAAGGTCAGTCTCTCTGGAGATGCAAACGTAACAGCAGCCAAGAGCTACGGGCCTCCTTCCCCTGCCACATTGTGGGCTAAGCCTGCCCAGGCCGTGCAGGCTAGCGAAGCAAGCAAAACCTGCCCAGCATATCTAGGGGCTGGCCAGAGAGGCTACGTCTCTGCTCTCCTCCCTTCCCCTGGCTCAGGCGAACACGGGCAGCTGTGCAGGTCCGCCGGTTAAAAGCTTGGCATGAAGGCAGCTTCACAGGCACATTCTCAGTTTCTCTCCAATGCCAGCAAGAACAAAGCCATGCAGCGAGGCCAAGTGTAACCAGCCCAGGTCACTGTCCAAGCGCCCGGCTCTGGCTTGTTCACATCGGGCAGCCTGCAGTCAGGATACCGGCCCTGATAGTCTCTGGGTCGCTGCAGCTTCACGGGGTCGGTGAAACCAGCATGGAGCAGCCCAGTGGGGCTGGGCAGCGATGGACGCAGCTACCGCCTTGGCTCGTCCCCACCCTCGTTAACCTGTCTCTGCAGATAACACTACTGAAGTATTTCCGGAACTATATGAGTGAGCATTTGCTCAAGGCAGGCGCCAACATCACGCCCCGGGAGGGGGACGAGCTGGCACGGCTCCCCTACCTCCGCACCTGGTTCCGGACTCGCAGCGCCATCATCCTGCACCTCAGCAACGGCACCGTGCAAATCAACTTCTTCCAGGTGAGCCGGCCGCACACGCGGGGGAG